TCTGCCCAAGGTTTTTGGAGAGCATGATTTGGACGCGGCCCAGAAATCAATCCGGATGTTTGACACTGCCATGAAATCAAATGAGCAAGCAATCAAGAGAGGAAAGACCGATTTGACTAGGGCATGTGCAAAGCAGAAGGCAAAGCTAGAGAAACAAAGAAAGCTGGAGGAAAAGGAAAAGAAAGCCAGAGAAAAGAAGGAAGCTCGAGAGGTTATGCTTAAGGATGGGGAAGAACAGTGTGAGGATGTTGGAATCGAAACATGGAATATTTGGAAGGAGGGTAGCAGCGGCGGTAAGACAACGGGGTTCTTGTGCGTGCCGCTGGACCAACGCCTTCCAGAGTTTGGTTCATTTCCAGACCAGGCTGTTCTTCTTGAGGGCATGGACCCAAGCAAACTCAATCTTGTGGACTACAAGGGATCTTTTGATGAACCAGTGCAACGCATCCTTCCGACCTTTGACATCGAGGAGGCCTGCTCGTCCTGCACCAGACTATGTTCATGCCTGCAATCAGTGGCATGGGCTCGAGAGACTTATCTCAAGATGCCACACCACCGTACAACTTGGATGGACAAGTGCTTGCCCCAGGTTGAAATTTGAAACCTTTCAGAGTTGCATTGCACTGCTCATTGCTGTTCAAACTGCTCCCTTTACATCTAAAGTCTACATTTACCAGACCCAAGCCAAATGATACCAGCGCTCTGAGTTCCAAACGATTCTATATTCCAAAATGCTAAGCAGTGAAGTCTACAACCTAGGATCTTCACTCCAGCTTTGAGAGTGTCATCTGCAGATGACCTGCATCTTGGGCCAAGCGACATTGGCTTCCCCTACTTCCATCTAATGATTCGCGGCCAGCAGTTCTTGGTTGGTGCTCCCATCGTGAAGCTTTATGCAGCTTATAAGACGAAGTGTGGAGAGCATGCTAAAGACTTTGTTCAGCTTTGTACCTTTCTGGTTGAATCGTCGCTAGACGATTTGCAGGATGCAGGCTGCCCAATTTCATGGGTTGTTCTTGAAGAGGGTGAGATGGCTATCTTGCCTGCTGGATGGGTGTTTGCATCAGGTTGCTAGGTTGCAGCTGGAAATCTCAAGTGCAGCAAGTTGCTTTTGAATTGAAACTTGCACAGGTAATTGTTTGCTTCTCATTTGGAGCTGATGTTAGGTGCAACTTGCAACACTCCGACATTTACTGTAGGCCCGGTCATTCCGCTGCAAGACAAGAGTGCCGAGAATGCTGTCACAGCCAGCCTTCAAGGAATTTGTGGTTCCCTGGACCAGGCTCAAGAGAATCTTGTTTACAGGTTTACCGTTCCAGTTCACCAGCTTGCCTGCTTGCAATCAAGTTTATGTGGATGTTTTCTATTCACTTGACAACCCAACCACAAAGTGAAAACCGTTTTTACTTGACATTGGCAGGTCAAGCTCATCGGCGACACCGACCTTCTGCAAGTGACCAAGACACTGTGCCAACCAAAGCACATGAGCAGCCTATGGAAGAGTTGGACAGCTGGCTTCAATACACGGGACAGACTCGTTGCTTTCTCGGAAGATGCAAGCACCGAGGACCACACAGCAGCAGAACCTGGCAAACCAAAGCAGCCACAGCATCAGCAGCAGCAGCCGAACCTTCTGGCACTGGGCAATGGGGATGACAAGGACAAAGCTGCAGCGAAAGTCAAAGAAGAGGAAGAGGATGATGTGACCAGCCGCTTGACTGACGCTGCCGACCCCACGTTCAAACAGACTTTGCCGCCTGAGTTGCGGGTCTATGTTGGGCTCGATGAAACAGAAGCTATGAGTGTCTCTGATGAGGAAATGTGGGCTGCTATCAAAGCTTGCAAGAACCATAGCAAGCTGGGTGCCTATGTGAGGTACTTGATTCTTGAAGGCCATTGTGAGGAAGATTACGAGTTTGGAAATGAAGACGGAGACCCATTGGCAGACATCCTAGAGTTCATCAACTGGCTCAAAGCGTGCTATGTGTATTCAGGTGTAGAAGGTGCAAAGGATCCATCTGCACGGGCAGTTGTACCAGCATCAGCACCAGCAGCACCGGCGACAGAAGTTTCTCAGCAAGTTGTAAAGACAACACCAGCAACACCAGCAGCAGCAAACGAATCAGCCACAATGAATACAGAAGCTTCCCAGCAGAAGGCAGTCAAGACAGCGCCAACAGCAATGCCTTCAGAAGCAGCCAATTCTGCACCAGCAACACCAGCAGCCACAATGACGACGCCAGAAGTTTCTCAGGAGGAGGCAGGCAACAACACACCACCACCAGCATTGCCTGCGGCAACAGCCAATGGGCCAGCGGCAGCTAAAGCAACACCAGCACCGGAACCAGCG